TTATTTTTTATTCTTCTTTTTTCTCCTGTAATAAGTGTCATCGCTGCTGTGACGTCTAGCTTTCCCCACTGAGGAACAATAAAGGGATTTTCTATTCTATTCATCTATCTGTAGCCTTTCCACTTCCTGTTTACTGTAGGTTAAATCTTTTCTCACGGGCCAACAACAAAATAAAAATATCATTTTATCTTAAATGAAAATGCAACATCTCACCTGTTAACTTTCATGTTTTGGAGCAGAAAAAGAGCATAAAACCAACATATTTAAAGCTCAGTTTGCTCCACTGGTTTACTGTGATGCTCACCTGTTCCAGCCAAATACCTGCATCATGGGACTGATCTGAGCTGAGGAGGAGACTCCTGTTGTTTTGTTCATCTTCATCATAATAATGACAACATTAGATGACAACAGGTGCTCACATAGGTTTGTGCTGATGAACATGTCTGAGCAGCTTGACCACGTTGTTGTGTGTCGGGGAGGAAACACAACTACAGCAGCCACAGAGCCGTGCTGGTTTGAGCGTGTCGCTGCTCGCTGGAGTTATATCAGCTCTGTCTGGACGTTAGTTGGAAAACTTTCTCTTTCAGTCGTGAACACATTACTGAGCGGCTAGAGTCTCCGTTTCTGGGCTTCAACGTCAGAAAATAGCTGAGTGAACGCGGCGCTGAGTGAGAGGAGTGTTTGTCCGAGACAGCGGAGCTGCAAACATCGGCAGCAGGCGCTGAAAAAAACACAAAGGAGGGGGCGCGTCGGCTCCGCGCTAACGCCGCAAAGCATCATGGGAGTTGTAGTCTTTGCTGTAAAATCGGCCAGCGGGCCAGTTTTAATATTTTTTTTATATTTATCTCGCGGGCCACATAAAAATGCTCCGCGGGCCGCATCTGGCCTGGGCTCTGGCCAGCAACTACAGGTCCTTCTTAAAAAATTTGCATATTGTGATAAAGTTAATTATTTTCTTTAATGTACTGATAAACATTAGACTTTCATATTAGAGTCATTACACACTACTGAAGTAGTTTAAGCCTTTTTATTGTTTCTAATATTGATGATTTTGGCATACAGCTCATGAAAACCCCAAATTCCTATCTCAAAAAATTAGCATATCATGAAAAGGTTTTCTAAACGAGCTATTAACCTAATCGTCTGAATTAACTAATTAACTTTAAACACCTGCAAAAGATTCCTGAGGCTTTTAAAAACTCCCAGCCTGGTTCATTACTCAAAACTGCAATCATGGGTAAGACTGCCGACCTGACTGCTGTCCAGAAGGCCATCATTGACACCCTCAAGCAAGAGAGTAAGACACAGAAAGAAATTTCTGTACGAATAGGCTGTTCTCAGAGTGCTGTATCAAGGCACCTCAGTGGGAAGTCTGTGGGAAGGAAAAGTGTGGCAGAAAACGCTGCACAACAAGAAGAGGTGACCGGACCCTGAGGAAGATTGTGGAGAAGGACCGATTCCCCACACCTTGGGGGACCTGTGGAAGCAGTGGACTGAGCCTGGAGTAGAAACATCCAGAGCCACTGTGTACAGGCGTGTGCAGGAAATGGGCTACAGGTGCCACATTCCCCAGATCAAGCCACTTTTGAACCAGAAACAGCGGCAGAAGCACCTGACCTGGGCTACAGAGAAGCAGCACTGGACTGTTGCTCAGTGGTCCAAAGTAATTTTTTTTTTTTGATGAAAGCAAATTTTGCATGTCATTTAGAAATCAAGGTGCTAGAGTCTGGAGGAAGACTGGGCAGAGGGAAATGCCAAAATGCCTGAAGTCCAGTGTCAAGTACCCACAGTCAGTGATGGTCTGGGGTGCCATGTCAGCTGCTGGTGTTGGTCCACTGTGTTTTATCAAGGGCAGGGTCAATGCAGCTAGCTATCAGGAGATTTTGGAGCACTTCATGCTTCCATCTGCTGAAAAACTTTATGGAGATGAAGATTTCCTTTTTCAGCACGACCTGGCACCTGCTCACAGTGCCAAAACCACTGGTAAATGGTTTACTGACCATGGTATTACTGTGCTCAATTGGCCTGCCAACTCTCCTGACCTGAACCCCGTAGAGTGTGAGATATTGTGAAGAGAAAGTTGAGAGACGCAAGACCCAACACTCTGGATGAGCTTAAGGCCGCTATCCAAGCATCCTGGGTCTCCGTAACACCTCAGCAGTGCCACAGGCTGATTGCCTCCATGCCAGGCCGCATTGAAGCAGTCATTTCTGCAAAAGGATTCCCGACCAAGGATTGAGTGCATAACTGAACATAATTATCTGAAGGTTGACCTTTTTTGTATTAAACACTTTTCTTTTATTGGTCGGATGAAATATGCTAATTTTTTGAGATAGGAATTTAGGGTTTTTATGAGCTGTGTGCCAAAATCATCAATATTAGAAACAATTAAAGGATTGAACTACTTCAGATGTGTGTAATGAATCTAATACATATGAAAGTCTTATGTTTATCAGTACATTACAGAAAATAATGAACTTTGTCACGATATGCTAATTTTTTAAGAAGGACCTGTATATTGAAAATGTATGTTAAAAAAAAGGCCATAAGCAGCTGAGGCAGCTAACTGGAGTATTGTGTGTGTCCGGGAAGAAACTCTAGGGGAGGGGTGATTGTCCTGTGACCGTATTTGCGTTCAAAACCTAGCTTGATCTGTAGATTTGCTAAAGCAGCTTTAAATTAATGGCCTGTAAAAATCTATTTTTCTCAATGGAGTCTGCTGGAATCAACCTTATTTCCATAGTAGTTGTTTGCATTTAAGTAGAGGACATTAAGCAGGGGAGTCGAGTGTTTGACTTCCATTATCAAGTATGATGACGTGTGAAAAAACATTGTTTTTACTGAATTTTAACCTGGCTAAATTGGCTGCCATCCTAGTCTGGCCACGAGCCACTTGAATCACCCAGTTTTAGGGTGGAACCTGCGATTGTCTTTCATACTCTCTCCACATGCATTTAGACAGCTCCAGGACCAATGAAAGGAACGAACATTGTGACAAATTTTCTACGGAAATCAGTCAATGCGACAAATCGTCCAAGAGTATGCAAATACATCTATATATATTAATTATTATTTTTTAATAAACGACTTAAGTACCTCTGTCTGCTCATGTTCCAAAGAAAAGCTTTACATCATTTAAAATTGTAAGTGAATCTTTATACAAGCTAGGTTTTGAACGCAAACATGGTCACGCCCACCTCTCTCCTCAGGTATTTTCCATGAGATCTTTGGGCCGGAACCAAAAACCCGCAATGCCAGAGGAAATGAGATGGTGCTAAACACCAGTCTCAGTTTTCTAGGTCCAAACATCTTTTGTTGTACGTGACTGATTTATTTATTAACTTTTTTCAGGAGGATAAACTGCTTGAGAAGTAACATCTCATTTTCAAGCAGGTGCTCCTACCATAAATGCAAAATAAGAAATTAGGTGGCAGAGTTGATACATCATCATAAAGAGAAAAAAAAATTAACATAACGTGACTTAACTAAAATGACGCTATGGTGAACCCAAACATATGTGGGCATTGCTGTGTCAAGTAATGTGAGCAGCAGCAGTACAACTGACAGTAAACATTAAAAATAGAAGTAGGGCAATGTAAAAATAGAAGTAGGGCAATGTAAAAATAGAAGTAGGGCAATGTAAAATAACAGTGCAGCAATACAATACAAAATCAAACGGAAGCAAAACTAAATAGTCTAAATGATGAAATCGATCTCAAGTCTGCAGGTAAATTGCTCCAATCCTGAGGAGCATTAACACAAAAGGTGTATCTCCCCACTTTTTTAAACTGAGGAATACTTCAAATGGTGTTTTTCTTTTTGGGACTCTGGTAATTTGTCCTAAAGTTTAGCCGGCTGGTTCTCCTTCTCTGATATTATTGAACTGAGAACCTCTCACGCCAGCGGTGTTCTGTTACAAAATACATCAATGCTTAAGGAATACAGGACCCAGGAAAATGTGTTGGTTTGGAGAGACCGACAGCTGGATGGTCCAGTGGTTGGTTTTGGCCCAAAACGTGTCGTTGACGAAGGTTCTCAAGACAAATGCAAGAGAACCACTTTATTAGTTTTTTATTTCTTCAATCTCCACAATACATTTATAGCTATACTGTTAGAACGTTGTTAAGAGTCTAATCTGTTTTCTAAATTTGCTATTGCAACTTTTAGGCCCTGTCCACACGTAACCGGGGATCTGCCAAAACTTAGATATTTTTCTACGTTTTGGCCTGTCATCCACACGAAAACGGAGTTTTTTTCACGCGAAAACGGATCTTTTTAAAAACTCCGGCCAAAGTGAAGATCTGCGTTTTCTCCGTTTTGGGTGTCTGCGTGTGGACAGACAAAACCGGAGTTTTAAGGTCCGCAACGTCACTTTCCGCGACAAAAAAATGCTGACATCACGTGTGCGACCTGTATTTACACTAGCCGACAGCATGGATGCCCTGAGAGCTGCTCTCGCTTTATCAATTGTCCAAGCGCTTTTTGCTGGTTTGTTTTTGCAAGCGGAATTACTGCTCCTTGCGGAAGACCACAGACGAAGGACGAGGTTAAGAACGGGGGAAGTACTGCCGCCTACAGGTCTGGCATGTCCTTAACAACGTATTTATCCGGGTACGTGTGAATAGAGTTTTTTTTTAAAAAAACGAGGTGGTGTGGATGCAAGTTTTTGGAGGGGCGGATATTCGTTTTTTAAAAAAACCCGGCTACATGTGGACTAGGCCAAAGTCGTTTCAAACAGGCACCATTCCTGGGCCATTTTTGTAGTTTTTCTCCATTGATGCTTTGGTATTAAGCCTGCCCAACAAGTGTAGAGCGCTGTGATTGGTTGGACACAAAACTGTTCAGGCCAATGGTAGACCTTCTGAAGCTACAACAGAGCGTAGCTAGACTGATGTGATTGCTATGGTTGGTCTAGATTGCATGGCTACAGGTTTGACCTTTTATTTATTTATTTAAATCTTTTATACAGTAGAGTAATTTGTGTCAATTTTATATTATAGATTTCCGGTGATGGATTGTAACAAAGTACAAGTACTTTGATACTGAACGTAAGTAGAATTTTCCTGTGTCTCTACTGAAGTCATTTCCTTGTGGGCATACTTTTACCTAATCATGTGTACTTTCTGCTCCACTATATTTTCTAAAATGTCAACAAAAAAAAAATCAAAGTACTTTTTTTACGTCTTGGTCCAACAGCACACCTCTACTTCTGAATGTTAGTTGAATACTAGTACTTTTAAAATTTTTGCGTACATTTGAAAATGCATACTTAAAAAGTGAGTCTAAGTCAAATATTACTTGGATACTTACACTTTTACTCACGTTTTACCATTTCACCTCTACTTTTACTTGTGTAAAAAAAGAAGTACTTCTTCCACCACTGTTGATTTCATAGTTTGAAAGTTTTAGTAAAACTTTGGTCAACAGGTTGAGCTTAAATGTTCTTCTGAAAAGAAAAGAAAACAAGAAATTTGTGAACATTTTGCACCTGAGACAGTTCTAGGTTGAAGTGAGGTTCGTCTTGTGACCGGTCACATGTTCCAAGCATGTAGGAAGGTATGCCCATTGGCCACGCTCGCATGATTTCAGGGAATCACCTCAATCTGTGCAACACTTGTTCTTCCAGTAATTGTTCATCACAGATTTACAATAAACAGTTACACAGATTTGATTTAAGAGAGATAGCAGCACAGTAAACCTGTAGAGTCCAGGATTATGTAAGAATGTGTGTGGCCTCGGTACCTACCCTTTATAGGTGCTTTTGCAATGGCAGGTGACTTAGAAAGGCGAGGCTGCTGTAAATTTTTTACCAAGCAGCTAACGCACCTATTTCTAGAAGCCCGAGGTTTATTTAACTTCAGTGAATTTTATGTTGCGTCTGTTTCTCTGAAAAACTGGGCTTGGATTCTCAAAGTACGGCCCTTAAAGCGACAGCCTGCACGTAAGAAGGAAGTTCTGACTGGGGAGAGCCACTTCTCTCCTACTGCACAGAGGAGAAAGAGGACAGGATTTTATCTCTGATTGGAGAGATCAGGGATACATTTTTAGAATTTTTTTTGTTTGTTTGTTTTTTCTGCCTCTTGGGTTGCTTTGAAGTTACTATCTCCTGTCTTTACAGACTTTGACCTCAAAGCGGGTTTAACTGAAGTTTTGCTAAAGCAAGATGCGCTCCAGTGAAAATGGACCTCCGTGCTCCCCAAACGGCGAAGGAGTTAACAGCAACGGCGGCAACAACAACAGCAACAACAACATGCCCCGAGCCAGAAGCGAGATCAGAGGCAACTCGGGTTCCCAGTATGCGGTGTGCGCTCTGGGAGTTGGTCTGATAGCTCTGGGCGTCGTGATGATCGTGTGGAGTGTGGTGCCCTCGGAAACATCTGGTAATAACAGCAGCTCCGGTTCGGGGGGGAATAGTTCCATTGATAGCAGGAGGAATAAAGCATCCTCTGTGGCCTTTGTGCTGGCGGGCTCCGGCGTGGCAATGCTGCTGTTGTCGTTGTGTCTGGGAATGAGGAACAAGCAGCGCGAGCAGCTGAGGCTCCAGGAGCTCCAGAACCAGAGGGAAGCAGCAGCACGGGAGCAGGAGCAGAGAGAAACGTGAGTCTGCTCCTGAAGTGACCCTTACTTTTGAAGGTTTTGACATCTTTTAGAAGTTATAAAAACCAATGTCTTAGCTTCATGTTGTATCATAGCTGCAGAAAGTAGCATGATTGCCTACTTAATGTGATTAATGCGTGATATTTTTATCCTTATGTATGCATAAATGTCTGCAGAACTGAGGAACAAGCCCGGCGCTATGCCGTACCCACCTATGAGGAAGCAGTAGGCAGTGGGCAGTACCCCTTGCGTCAGAGCAACCTGCGCCCCAGCTTCTCCCAGCTGCCGTCCTACGATGAACTGGTCCAAGTCGACGGTGTGCAATATGAGAACGAAGGTTCCGATGTCACGACGCAGTCTTCAGGTGCTCCCGATGATCCCGTGTCTACGACAAATAACAGACCTGAGAAAAATAGCCTGAAGCTTCTACCCATCAAACTCCGGAGGATTAAGTCGGAGAAGCTGCCCGAGAAAAGCGCTGACGTCTCTCAGCCAACGATGGACATCGGTATTGAACCTCTTACCCCACCGCCACAGTACGATGATAAGGTGCCTCCGCTTTAGTACCAGCTGTTTGAAACAGCTTGGTGAAATTCCTGGAATACTCCGTGATCTACTGTTATGGATCGGGATTTGTCTTACCACGCCAAGGACCGATAATGTTTCTTGCTACATGATTTGTTGTGTTTCGTTATGAACCACGATATCTGTTCAGATTCATCACCGTACCCTCACAACATCATAGTAGAGAAGAGAAGAATCCTTTTCCTTTACTCTTGGTCTGACTGGATGATGATGGTGATGGTGATGGTGATGATGATGATGATGATGATGGATGCATTGCTCTGTGGGGACTGATTTGGTCACACTGAAGTAAAGGCGTTCCTCACTTTGTCGAAGGTTTCTGTTAAAACACAACGAAACCCGTCTCCACTGTGCACTGATTTTCCGGGTGAGTTGGTGACACGCCATCGGAGGGACAGCTGCATCGAGGACTTGCGCGCTCATCTGAGGCTCGTAAACATGGAGTATTGGCTGAATGGATTTAGCTGTTCTGAAATGATGAAAACCTGTGGATTATCCAACTTTTAGTCTCCTTGTTGGAGTTTCATCCCCAGAGAGAAACTGCAAGGCTAGCTGTTCAAATGCCACCTGAAAAAATGTGGCACTGTTGGCGTTTAAAGTTATAAAATGAGTTTCCATCTGAAACATCTGAGTTTGAGATCATTTGTGGCTACTAGATGATTGTAGATGTTTAACTTTGTACTCATCTCTGATTTTATGTGCATTCCAGCGTTAAACAGCTGAGTCTACACCTCATTTATTTACTCTTGAGCTGCTTCAGGAGTCCTCCGTTTAGATATTTAATCCAATGTAGGCAAATAAAAACACAAAGTTCCGCTTAAACAGGATTGACGTTTAACATCGTTGGCGTTTTACGAGCAGAATCGTTTTTTTAGATCGTAACAGTTGCTAACCTTATTGGAAACCAAAATCATAGGCAGAAACAATTTTCATTTTGAAGACCGAATTCCCTTTAGTTGTGCACTCTAAACCACTCATGGTGTTCTTTCAGAGGAATGCCCCTTCCACTTTTACTAATGGTCACAAAAGAATGTACATGTGAGTGTGTTTAGAGGTCTTGTAGTTGCTCAGTGGTTGTGGTGAGTTGTGAAAGCACCAGTGCTTCACGGGGGCTGGTTTTTTTTTTTCGCCCTGGATGACCAACAGAAAGACCCTTTGAGCGTGCATCTGCACCACAACAGCAGCTGCTCCCAGCGTTCCCAGCATCATCCCTAAAACTGCAGCTGGAGCTGCTGCCTTGTTTAACTATGAAAGTATGTGGAGAAGACGCAGGAAATGAACCGTCTGCTTTAGGCTTTGTTCAGAGAACTTCGTGTTACATCAGCATCAATACTCTTATTATCACTACTTGACAGGATGGTATTTTTACCTTAGATATGGAAAGCTGAAGGCGGACATTCAGGAATATTTTTTTCCTCAGTACAGTTATTCCTTTTCAAGGTCCACAGCTTATTTTTATTATTTTTTTGTAATAAACACTTTTCACTAGTGATGTTGTTTGGAAGCCACTCTTCTGAACTGTCAGTGGCACTCGGCCACGTTTCTCAGATCCAAGCTGAAGCTCAGAGGAACAAATCTTGGCATTTATTTTATAAAATGTTTTACATTGTCGATAGTGTTTTATTAATAGGAGTCTATTTCTGTATCTTTTTCAGTGAATTTGTTTTGTTTAAAGTAGCATTTAAAATGTTGCATTTCTACAGTATGTCTATGTGAAAATGTGCTTTTCTAAATCTTTTTGTATCAGTGAGTTTAGTTTTTGCAGAAGTCTGAAAAAACATTGTCATGAATATTTATAATAAATAAAAATGTCGTTTTTAAGCATTTTTAGTGATGTTTGTTACAATTGGGACAAATGTAACCTTAAATTTAAAGGTCAAAAACAAGCCGAAGGAATGGGGTCAGTTTGCTCTGAGGGCTTATAAACTTTTCAGGAAGTTTGTAGTAAATCATTACGGTACAATATGTGCTTATTTAGGGTATTTATGGGATCCTTTTATTACATCCAGTTATAAAAAACATAAATCATCTAAATGGATTTGTAGCTGAGGCATTTTTGTGTAAAATCCTTGCACAAAAAAAAGTTTCAGTGTTAAATCAGGAACATTTAGATTTAATTTCTGGGATTAAATAACCTGTACCTTCATTTATTATCAGGTTTTTTTTACTCTCAAGGAGAGATATGTCTCATGCAGCAAGCTGAGACTCATCTGTGTGTCCCAGCCTGCAGAGATACCCTCTCCTCCCTCTCCAGACCGTCTGCTGTTATGTGGACCCTCCAGCAGTCGGTGCAAACATTGTGGCAGCTGGAGGACCACTCGCTGTGACACGTGGGCGACCCCGGTAAAATAAACAAATATTACACTAGTTTTTAAGTCAAAGCATGTTTTTAATTCTATCTTTGAGGAGCAAAGATCTGCTGATTTAGATTTTGATGCGTGCAATTTACTTTTCATGAGTCTAACTCAGACTTTCTGTGTCTAGCAGAACAAAAAGTAGAAACCATAAAGAAACCTTTTCCATTTGGGGAAATCTGTAAATACCAGGGGTGGGAATTATTTAACATGTTAATTACGATTAATAATTAGGAAAATTTTTATGTTAAAATTGTACCCATTGAGCCCAAGCGCCCCCGAAGGGAGGAGTGGGGGTCCTGGCGTCAAGATGTATGCCCAGTGTATTGATAAATACACCTCTGCTCTAGGGCTGGAAAATAGTTCAATATATCTATCGATAGACATTTGATAGAAAAAGAAATGAGGGTCAATAAAACTTTGATAAAAGGTAGCAGCATACTAGATGCGCTACTTACTCCTAACCAATCAAAACCACAGACTCAGGCACACTACGTCACCGGGCCCTCCCGTTCTCAAGCCAAACAGCATGAGGCAGCAAGATGTCTCAGCGATAAGAGGTGGAGTAAAAATAAGAATACTATATATATATATATATATATATATATATATATATATATATATATATATATATATATATATATGGCCAGGGCTGCACGTAAAATATATTTTCTACAATTTAAAACTTTTTTCTATAATTACTGATATCGATCAGTATAAAATAATTATCAATATACTTTTTTCTATATCGTCCAGCCCTACTCTGCACATGTAACTGAACTGCAGAGCCTGGACCACAAGACCATAGAAACATTTGTTATGACAAATCACTCTGGTAGAAAGCAGGCAGTCACTTTATCCATATGAACTTTATTACAGCAGGAGACACACACACACACACACACACACAGCGTTCATCTAGTAAATCTTTTGTTATTAAAAACAAATTATTTTAAACGATGAAATGTGATTAATCAAGATTAATTGCAAAGCCTGTAATGAATTAGATTTTTTTTAAATCGAGTCCTACCCCTAGTAAACACTCAATCTTTATTTGATAAATCAGTGATCAACCTAAAGTCTTGGGCAGCAGATTTTATGGTGTAAAGCTAATACGCTAAATGTATCTTCCTTTTGAAAGCTGATGAGTTTGCACTGACATGACTCAGCAATGACCTTAAATAAGACTAATAATATTTTAAATATGTGTTGAGCTCCACTCGCGGGGCCCCGTGGGGCAGGATGACTCTGGTCTGGAAGCCGTGATTGCATCAAATATGGTGACAGGAGAAGACAGCTTTATCAGAGAAATGTCATTCTGTTAAAGGGAAATCGATACTCCCGCTGTCAGGGGAAACAAAACGTGTCACATCTGACCAATGTTCTGCCTCCACACACACAAGGTTGTAGAGGTTAGTCGGAACTAAGTGGTAAAGAATCCTGTATCATTACTAAACGGCTGTTTGAGTAAAAGCAAGTAGCTTAACATGATTTAAAGTTATAAGATTTTTATTATGAGTTAGATTTTTTTCACCAAACTGAGTTTTCACTACTTTTAAAGTCATTTTGTTGCAAATGTATTTGATTTGATGACTTATTGTGAAAATTTGAATTTGAGCTTTTGTCCATGTCCATTCAGAAGAGAAAACCTTCAGAGATGCTTCTAGTGCCCTCTGCTGACTGACTAGTGCAACACCGTGGCCAAACAGACAATTCTAGCTACATTCACTCTGAGATCATTTCAAATATCAATATCAAAATGCTTGGAATAAATAGGCAATTCCTCTTTTGCAGTCTGCTGCAGAAAAAATATTTACATTTATTTTTTCACTGACTGTATCATGCAAAAAACACTTTTTGAAACTTTTGAGCATGTCATATTGTTATGCCATGTCCAAATATCAGGAAATAAGACTCCAAATCCTGCTGTCTGCAGCTTCTCTCTGTGGCAACAAACTTGTTGCTGCTGATCCAATAAAAGCTGGGCTTTTTTAGCCCTGAGTTTGGCTAGTATGGCATTCATTCCTTCCAGAGACCACTGCAATTGTATTAATTAAATGAGTTTCCCACACCTTTAACATTCATGGACTCGCCTATCTTGGCTCGCGAAAGGGAAGGCTGTTGTTGCTTTAGCGTAACTCTAACTCTTTAACGAACAGAGAACGCCTCGGCTAGTAGAAGCCAACCGTTAGCATTAGCGACTCCACCACACTGCAGAACTCCCCCAGGTTTGTGTTATTTGTGGAGCGAAAACGTCAGCGTTGTAGAACAAACAGAGTCAGTGGCAGAATTGCATTACTGTTGGCCAATGAGAGGGGAAATGTCCAAATATCAGGACTTAAGACTCCAAATCCTGCAGTGTTTCATTCAACTCTGATCTGGCTCACTTCCAGTTCCTGAAACAGGTGCACTGAGAGGTTTTTGCAAGTATTTCAGTTCAGAGATGCTTTAGTTATTTATTTTCAAGATAATTAAGAGTCTGGCTTTTATCTTAGGTTAGGTAAGGTTACATGAGACTTCTTATGTAGGAAACTAACTGGAACTGAACTCAGGGCACTGAGACGTAGAGTGTTTACTTTCTAAATAGCCTTGAGACGACTCTTGTTGAGATTTGGTGCTGTATAAATGAACTGAACTGAAATGGTCTGTTCCCCATCATCAATACTGGAGTAACTATAATTGTTTTTACTACTAAAGTCAAATTATAATTGATATTTTTACTAATATAAAAAAACATGTTTTATTTTCATTACTGACTTGCAGTATTTTTTCTGACTGGTAAAGTATAATTTCAATAATAAAAGCAAATACGACACAGAACATGAGGTAAAGAAAGTTATTTTATTTTTGTCTGTTCTCCTTTATTTTACATTTTTACTATGTGTGCATGCTGGCACTAGTCCACATCAGTAGGTCGCCATTTTCTGTAAAAATAAATAAATAAATAAATTAATTAAATTGCATGATTCTGAGATGTGTAAAAGGATCTATCTGATGTATTAGAAGTCAGTGGGATGTGCAGGAGCTTACGGAGTTGATCCAGGTGATGTAGGAGCTGACTTGAGTGAACACTGTGGGCTTCTTCTTCATGTTACAGCTGAGTCCCGATCCAAAGCTGACGATTCCATGGACCTCCCAGGTACCGTCGGCGTTCTGACAGTTCAGAGGACCACCAGAGTCACCCTGGAATAAAGGATTGAGAGATATTCAGTGAGCAAAGAACCTGCTGGTAGATTTAAAATGATCTTCAAAAAGATGAGAGCTATTACTGTTATTTTTTCCAGCTAACTAAATGTTTTTGCCAGAAATGTTCAGACTCACATTGCAGCCGGACACAATTCCATCTCCACCTGCACAGACCATGGTGTCTTTCACCTGGAATCCCCACCAGTCGGATTTGCTGCAGGTAGCATGGTCCACCACAGGCAGCAAGGCCTGCTGCAGGATGTCAGCGATGGGGCCTCCGGCTGTGTGGGAGGAGGAGCCGAACAACCACAGGTAAATAACAGCAACAGTGCCTCGTTTCAAAATAAGATAAAATCACCTAAATGTTGTTCAGGCAAGCTGTGTCTGTCCCCTACCAGCTACATGCAAAACTGTAATTAAAATATGATTTAAACAAAAGTTGTTTTCTTTAAAGCAGCAATTCTGCTGTTTCACCTTCATGGTATTCATGTATGATTTCATAAAAACTCGTAGAAGTGATACTTATCCTGTACTGTTTTTTCTAAGCCCACCCTGTCTTTTAGAGCTGAAATGAGTGCCAGTCAGCATTAGCGTTAGCCAATAAGGAAATGAGAAGTATTACTGTCAGCTGTTATGTCAGTAGTCGGGAGAGGGGCCAGTCTGCCCTCTACAGGCTCAGCTGAAAGCTGAAAGTCCAGCACCACGGCCCCCCCACCCCCACCCCCACCCCCACCCCTGCTCTCATGAACAACGCAGCAAAGCAAAACGATCTGCTTGCAGCCCCTGGGTGTAGTAGCCGCACGACTGGAACATTTTCTAGGGCATGGGTATGGAACCCTGGTCCTGGAGAGCCACTATCCAGCACATTTTAGAGGTTGCCCTGCCTTAAAAGACCTGATTTTAATCAGCAGGTGATTAAAATGCTTCTGCAGAGCCCGATGAGCAGTTGAACAGGTGATTCAACTTCGTTGAAGCAGGGCGACCTCTAAAATGTGCTGGATAGTGGCTCTCCAGGACCAGGGTTCCCTACCCCTGTTCTAGGGGAAACAGTGGTGGCTTATGGCGCAATAAAATTTTCCACCTCTAGATGGTGCCCTCTCAGAAAAAGTACTCCACATTCCTACTTTAAAGTGACGGTGTGTATTTTTCCTTGCGATAGGGGGCAGTAGATACCTAAATTGTTGCAAGCAAGCTGTATTTTTGTGTTGGAATAAGACCTTACCAATGGATCCCCATTAGGGTCAAAAAACCCTAACCCATAGAAGGAAACATGGCATCCAATATGGTGTTGCCCAGAGACTTAGAACCACTCCCATGTATTTTAGACCTGATTTCTATGGTTATATGTAAAGAAGCTGCCAATATTTTTCAACAACAGGGCATCGTTTCATTCATTTTCAACAACATTTTGATGGATATTTCCAGAGATTAATGATAAAAACTACACATTGTCCCTTTAAGGTTTTATAACTTGCTTCTTTGAGAGAGCGAAACTATCTGATGATGCCTTAAATGTGCAGAGCTGACTCACTGTAGACGCGACCCCACCCGGTGACGTAGCAGGACTCGTTATGGGGGAGGATGAAGCCGTCGGCGGGAAGGCAAGCAGCCATGATGGTGTCAGAGAAGTCAACAGGAGCCTCCAGTTTGATCAGGGCAATGTCATTACTGCAGAACAGTCACATCCAGTTACATTAGTCCCAACTGGACCAGTTCACTGATCAGAGTCCATTCCCAGTTACCGAATGAAGAGTGAGCTCCACTTCTCATGGACGATGATGTTGGAGGTGCCCATGAACACAGAACCCTCTTCTGCTTCTTCTACCAGGTTGTGCTTTCCCAGGGCCACTCTGTACTCCCTGCCTTTGCTACAACAAACATGAAACATTCATTCATTTTTTTAATTAACGAAGACAAGAAGCAATAAAGAAATGTTTTGCTGTTGAGTCCGTATCAAATGGACATGACTGCTCTTTACCTGATACAATGAGCAGCAGTCAGGACCCACTGATCAGAGATCAGAGTACCTCCACAGGTGTGCCTCCACTCGCCCTCTCTGTTGTACTGCAGAGAAATCTGAACAAATGTGCAAAAGGTCATTTCTGTCTCGTTTGAATTATTTTCTTTAATATTTGATTGTTGTGGATGTTTGGAAGAGGAGCATCCTTAATCGAGTCCTAATTCTTATACTGAACTAAATGAACTTTTAACTTGAGCCAAATGACAGTTTCATTTTATTTGATGCTTTTTATACTTTTTAGGTAAAATTTAGTCATTTTTATCTTCTGCCTTAAGAATGATGACAATTCAGTTATTTTAATTTAGACTTTTTATTTTTAATTTGACAAATCATTTATATTTACTCAACTAACTTCTTTATGAATTTACCTGAAATTGCTTTTGCTCTTTTCACTGCATCAAGTTATATATTATATGACTCTATTATAATATTATACTATACTATGCTATACTATATGATATTATATTACATTACATTAGTATAGTATAGTATAATATATACTATACTATACTATACTATACTATATGATATTACATTACATTATATTATATTATACTATACTATATGATATTACATTACATTACAGTATAATATTATACTATACTATACTATACTATATGACATTACATTACATTATATTATATTATACTATACTATATGATATTATATTACATTACAATATATTATATTATATTATACTATACTATACTATATGACATAACATTACATTATATTATATTATACTATACTATATGACATTACATTACATTATATTATATTATACTATACTATACTATATGACATTACATTACATTATATTATATTATATTATACTATACTATACTATATTATACTATACTATATGACATTACATTACATTATATTACATTATACTATACTATATGACATTACATTACATTATATTATATTATACTATATTATACTATACTATATGACATTACATTACATTATAGTATATTATACTATACTATATGACATTACATTACATTATATTATATTATATTATACTATACTATATGACATTACATTACATTATATTATATTATATTATACTATACTATACTATACTATACTATACTATACTATACTATATGACATTACATTACATTATATTATATTATACTATACTATATGATATTATATATTACATTACATTATATTATATTATATTATACTATACTATACTATACTATACTATATGACATAACATTACATTATATTATACTATACTATATGACATTACATTACATTATATTATATTATACTATACTATACTATACTATATGACATTACATTACATTATAGTATATTATATTATACTATACTATACTATATTATACTATACTATATGACATTACATTACATTATAGTATATTATACTATACTATATGACATTACATTACATTATATTATATTATACTATACTATACTATATGATATTATATTATATTACATAACATTATATTATACCATACTATATTATATTACAGTACGCTATATTATATTACATTATATTGTATTATATTATATTACATTACATAACATTACACTATATTATATTATATTATAATGTATTGTATTGTATTTTGTTTCATTATATTATATTATTTTAAATTATATTATTTTAAGTCCCATTGGAAACTTCTTATTTTATGAAAGCTATTTTTGCACCCAGTAAAATGTTTGAATCTCTCTTTTTACCTGCCACGGCCAGCTGTTAGGCCTGACATCTTCTCCTCCAACCACTCGGCTCACCACGGGTGGGAACGTGGGTGTCCCACACCCATAAGCTGAAGCAACACACACAAATAAAAAACCCAAATGTGATCATGCAGCTGTTTGCCTGTATTCTGTTATTAGAGAGAGTTGAAACACAGTCAAACAAAAGGTATCTTCCTACCGCCAACAGCAAGCAGAGCGAGCACCACAAACTTCATCATGTCTGTTTGTCCACAGCTTGACGTGAATATTGGAAGTATTTATACCTTTCTCCACGATATGCAATCCTGTTTCTAATTCATGGAAATGTACACTTTGGGAAACTTTAACAGACAGTTGGGTGGAGCTAAGTGGGCTTCCATGTAGCAGATGTGGACAGAAATATGAGGCCAAGGTCAAAGTGTTCTGTAGCTGCATACATAAAAATTATGTTGTCACCTTTCTAACAGCTTAAGCTTATATAAAGAATCCAATTGGTTCAGCAGCAAATATTTAGGAGTGTGTATTTTACTGAAATGGAAGCACTTCAGTGTTTGTTCAACCAATATTTATTTAATAACCAAACACAAAACACCCAGAAATTATAACATGTCTGTAACTTGTAACTATCAAGAATAATGTGTAACGTGAAAAATAATGTACTTAATCAGTTTAACTTTTTAAGAAAATACAAACCAGAGCTAATCAACATCACAGTGAAAGGCAAAAGTAATAATAGAAATAAAATATAAAACAAAGTGCAAATTATAAAAAAACAACACATTTAGTCTTATAAAGTTGGCCAAAAGTCATATAAAGTAAAACTCATATTATTTTTTGTGAGTATCAGTAGAAAAAACACACATTGCAGCCACTACTGCAGTGCTATTTATATTTTACTGTTTAATATATCAGATTGAAGCTGGAAAAGGCTCATTTCCAGGCATGTGGCTTACTGAGTTTATTAGGAAAATGATTTAATGAAAAGTAAAATTTCTAAGGACCGAAAATGACCAGTTTCAAAATAGCATCATTTAAATAAAAAAGTCTGTCAACATTTAACCTGGCTGACTGATGTAGGTCTTCTACCAGATAAAAGCTAAATTAAATGTTATAATTTTACATCAAAAAAGATAAAAGCTCAAAGCAAAGCAAGAGTCCCCAAGACCAATCTCTGAGGAACTCCCCAGTTGGTGGGGGATGTTGAAAATGATACTTTTTTCCCATTTGTAACATGCAGAAGGATCTCACTCAAAAATCTATTACTAGACAGTAGAAGGAGGAAATGCTAAGCTGAAGTTTAGAGAAAAAATATCTCAGTAGCATATTTATTTATTGAATAATAGAAGTAGGGGCTGTTGCTATGCCAAAATCAGCCCTAAAAGCTGAACTCAAAAATGCTGTATTTACTCTCTAAGAAGCAACGGTGCTGTGCACAATGATTTTAAGATAAACTCCTCCTATATTACTGCTTTTTATTTTAAGTGTTACAGAGACTTAAAACTGACTTTAAAACTTACATTTAAGGCTAATATTAACATAAATAAAATTTTCTAACACGTAAAAGTCCGGAGGCACCTGCATGGTTCTCACACAGATACAGCAGAGGTGGGACAGATATGGTGTATTTGGGGATATCTTTGTTCTTATCTCCAAGGTTAAATTGTTTTTCCCCCACCAGGTTTTCCTAAATATGTAATCTTAAAAAAAAAAAAAAAAAAACGTAGGTCTGCTATTTAACGCCCTATATAAAGAGCTGTGAGTCACCCTGAAAGTCACAGACATTCAAAATGAATTTTGTGATCTTGGCCTTGTTCGTCGCTGGTGGTAAGTTGATGATGGGGTTGAAATTACACACAAAAATAAAAAAAAAATTACTGAAATTAGGACTATGGGGTGAGTTAGTAATGCTAAAACTTCACCGTTGTGTTTTTTTTAGCCTACGGCTGCGGTCGGCCCACCTACCCCCCCGTCCTTACCAGGGTGGTTGGTGGAGATGACGTTCGTCAGCACAGCTGGCCCTGGCAGGTATTCATCCATCATGCATGTCAAAATCCAATGTCCTTTAGACATGATTTAACATTCGAATGCAATTTGTCCCATGTTGTCCACAGGCGTCTCTGCAGTACCAGAGTGGGAGCTCCTTCTACCACACCTGTGGAGCTACCCTGATCTCCAGCCAGTGGGTGGTCACTGCTGCTCACTGCATTGGGTAAAACAATTAAATGATTAAAATATGGAATGAATAAAGATGTTTTTATCAGTAGAAAACAAATAATGATTATAGACAGTATGGAGTGCACCAAAGTAAAAGAACACATGAAATTGGATCAGAAAGATAGTTTAGAGTTTATAATGATCCAAATAAAAAAAAGTTCACGTATTTTACTAATATTTAACCAATGAATTATAACAAAAACATAAGAAAGATGAATATGTTAAAAGTGGGGGTGGACATTTAATGTGTTAATTATGGTTGATTAATTAATTAGAAAAAAAAAGTTCATTAATAAAAATCAATTGAGTTTACAATAATAATGTTCTTGCCTATTGTTTGGTTCTCTAATTATTTGTATAAAAAATAGCTTTTGGGTAAATTTTGTGGAGTGATTAAAATGTGATTAAATAAGATGAATTAATTACAAAGCCTCTAATTAATTAGATTAATTTTTTTATCGAGTACCAGCATTAGTTAAAAGCACTCCCCTATGACTCGTTTAACTCTAGTACGTTTGTGTGTTTGTGACGATGTAGAAGTCGCACCTACAGAGTCTACCTGGGGAAACACAACCTGAAGAACAACAACGAGGCCGGCTCCATCGCCATCAGCCCCGCCAGGATCTTCGTCCATCCCAACTGGGACTCCTACAGAATCCTGTATGGCGTATTCACATAGCTGATATTAATACACCGCACAACTGTCTATCCACGCTGTTGCGTCTCTTTACTTCCGTGTTTCCCTCTCTTCAGGAACGACATTGCCCTGATCAAGCTGTCATCTCCTGTCAAGCTGTCGGACACCATCAAGCCCGCCTGTCTTCCCAACTCCGGCGAGGTCCTGCCTCACGGCGCTCCCTGCTACGTCACTGGCTGGGGTCGCATCTCTAGTAAGTAGAACTATATAATGAAATACACGCTTTAAATGTTTTATTACGTTTTATGTGCACTTTAAAGTTAAAAAGATGTCACTTTTCTCAGTTGAGGCATATTTAAACCAACTTTAGTGGGTTAGATTATAAATGACCATGAATATATTCATCTGGATTTCAGTTGGTAATTTAAATATTCCTGTTCTTTAATAAAGCTGGAGGACCCCTTGCTGACATCCTGCAGCAGGCCCTTCTTCCTGTGGTCGGCCACTCCACTTGCTCCAGGTCTGACTGGTGGGGCAGTCTGGTCACCACCAACATGATTTGTGCTGGAGGAGATGGACTGCTGTCCAGCTGCAACGTAGGTCAAATTGTTTAAACTTAGCAAGCAGATATCTTTAAACTTATTTTATCAAAAGCAACATCATGGCTTATCCCTGCTATTGTCCTTCAGGGAGATTCTGGTGGTCCTCTGAACTGTCAGAACTCTGATGGCTCCTGGGACGTCCACGGAGTGGTGAGCTTTGGCTCAAGTATGGGCTGCAACTACCCCAAGAAACCATCTGTCTTCACCAGAGTTAGTGCCTACATGAGCTGGATCAACAACGTGAGTGGAAGCATCAATTGTTTTCTTCTTTAGTTGACTTTGTATTTCCTTTTCTGAAACCAGACTTAAACTCAGTGGCTGATCTAGGGTTTTTCTGAGTAACGGGCCATCAAGGGGCCACAGTAATTATAGGGGGGTCAAGTATTTGTCCAACATCCATACACAAGAATTTTACCCTGGAAATTCCTATTTAACTCATTGGCACCAATAGTGTTTAGACTTGGAAATGCATCCACCTATAATCTGATCATCGCAAAAAGGAGAGATGAGTGATAAGACAGGGGCACTTAAGGGGGCCAATACCCCGGTGGCCCCACCCCTAGAGTCACCAAATTCAATTACATTTAGAAAAAGAAGTAAATGACCATACTTGGTTGTAAATTTAGTAAAATTGCATGAAATTATAGAAGAATAGAGACTTCCGGGTCGACGCGAAGGAGGATGGCAGCATAGCAAAAGAGGCTCCCGACATAAGAGAAAAAAAACAGCCCACAGTAACCCAAATTTACTATGAACTGAGTTAAAGAAACGAGAAAGAGGGGCGCTGAGATGCCTAAAAACAAAAACAAGAAGAAACTCACCCAGAACGAGCTACAGGAGAGGGACGGCGATGACCAGATCTCACTGGCTAGCAGCAACATGGAGGACAACGACATGCTAGCAGAGGAAGGAGAACTAGATAGCAACGCTTGCTTAGACCTCATACTCAGGGAATTGAGGGAATTCAGGAAAGAAAATGATGTGCAGCTAAAAGCTATCCGGGAAGACGTAAATAAGACTAACAAGAGAGTGGAAGAAGCGGAGAAAAGGATAAAAGATGCCGAAACCTGACTACAAAATGGCAAAGAAGCAGTAACAGGGATGCTCAAACTGCACATTGAAATGAAAGCAAAATTAACGGATCTAGAGGGACGGTCTAGAAGAGACAATATTAGAGTATACGAATCAAAGAGAAATCAGAAAATGACGCACCATCTATGGCTGTGTTCCTAGAGCGCTTGCTAAGACAGAAACTGGAGATACTGGAGACGAGTGAAATAAAGATCGAGAGAGCACACCAGGCTACGGTGCCAAAGCCACCACCAAGCGCAGCACCTAGATCCATAGTCGCCAAGATGGCTAGCTACAGAATAAAAGATGAAATAATAAAAATAGCCTGGCGAAAACGCGGATTTGAATATATGGAGAACAAAGTTATCCTAGACCACGACTACACACCTGTCTTGAAACAACGGAAGGAATACTCAGAGGTCAAAGCGTTGTTAAAAGAGAAAAAAAATCCTATTCCAAACGCCATTCCAGCACGAATGCGGATATTCTACTCGGAGGGACCGGTGCTGTACGGCTCCGCGGAGGAGGCAACCAGTGACCTGGCAAAGAGAAAGATGGAATTTAATCCCATAGTTAAGTCTTAATTCAAGAATAGATTCAATTAAAATTAACATCCTGCCAAAACTACTATACCTATTCCAAACGTTACCAGTAGAATTAGATCAAAAGGTATTTAATGAATGGGAGAAGATACTGTCCAGGTACATATGGCAAGGAAAGAGACCTCGAATCCAATTTAAAACTCTCCAGTTGACAAAAGCAAAGGGAGGATGGGGCCTCCCATCTCTTAAAGACTATTACAGAGCAGCACGACTGAGACCTGCGATTTGCTGGTGCAATCCCTCCTACAACGCACAATGGAAAGACAGAAATGGAACTTTCACCTACCTCTATACAATCACTTATCGCAGATAACAATATTCAAGAATGGATCAAAAATATAGAAAATCCTTGGATTAAATTAACACCTAAAATTTGGAGAACAGTAATAACGGAATATAAATTGGAAGAAGATATAGTGGTAATTAAATGGTGTGCAAACGGCACACAGTTTACTCCAAACAAATTAGATATGAGGTTCAAGAAATGGCCAGAAAAAGGTAGAACCGCCTTATGTAAAATAGTAAAAAATGACACCCTCCTCAGTTTTAAACAAATTAAAGAGAAATATGCTTTAGAAGCGCAAGATTTTTTACCGGTATTTACAGGTGAGACATTTTATTGGTAACAAGTTAAAAAATGTGGCAGAATCTAGTAAACAATTATTGGAGGTTTTTAAAAAGGCCTATGATGAAAATAGAGGTAGGGGTATTGTATCAGCGATATATAAGGGACTTATTAACAAAAAGAAGCACTCAACTCTATATGTTAAAGCAAAATGGGAACAAGAAGGAGGAATAAATTTGTCAGAGGAAGAGTGGGAATCAATCTGGAAATACCAGTGGAAATGTAGCAATTCAGAAAGTTGGAGGGAATTTGGCTGGAAGAGCCTGATAAGATATTTTATTACACCATTTCAAAAATCCCATTTCAAAGGTAACTTTCCGGTTTGTTGGCGAAATTGTGGAGGTATGAATGCAAATCACTACCATAATTTTTGGGATTGTCGGAGTATTAAGACTTTTTGGAGTGAAATACATAAAGCAACACAAGACATTTTCGGGAGTCATTTGCCCCTGGAAAGTAACGTTTTCTTCTTTGGACTCATGTCTGAAGGATTGACTAAAAGAGATAAACATTTGTTTGGTATTTTAATGGTGGCCAGCAAAAAGGCACTCACGAAAAAGTGGCTTTCCCAGGAGAGCCCAACATTGACCCAATGGACGGTCACGAATATCGTTATGGACGTATACAGAATGGAGAAGTTAATAGCAGAACAGAACAAGAAAGACTTATATGCCTCCCGATGGAGGAAATGGATAGACTACTTAGCGCCACAAAGACCAGAACTTAACTTGCTTATAACCTGTAAGGTTAACTGGATATTGCATGGATTACAATCATCCTCACCCCCAAGTAATGGATGTCTGTCAGGTTTATTTGTGTTTTATTTACATATACTACTATGTATTTTTATGTTTACGTTTTCTTTCCCGTTTTAATACCGACTCACAGAAAATGCTCATTCAAGCAGAAACTTGGTGATATATTTGGAAAAGAGGTTCTTATGTAACATGACTGCTGAATGTTTAATAAAATTTAAATGAACAAAAAGAAAAAAAAAGAAATTATAGAAGCATAGATTTAAAATTTCAATTACTTCCAAGATCCATCCACTGAGATGACATCACAGTGGTAATTGAAATGAATATTAGAATGCAAATAGGTGATAAGTTATTAATTTTTCTAATTTTTGTTTTATTCCAGGTGATGACCTCCAACTAAGATGGACCTAGATGATTGTTTCACTTGACACTAAAATAAAGAATTAAATATTTGAGTGACCTTTTGTGTGTTGTAATCAGATATAAGTTTTTTTCTTGTGTATTTAGACAATTAAACAGAGAATTTTACCCAACCATTTCCCTATAAATTCACAATTGTATCATCTCCATTTGAAGGGAATGTTTTGTAAAACGTACGGTGCACACTTGTTTCAACACCCACACCGGTTAAAGACATGATAGCTTTACAGGCTTGGGCACAACATCCTTTTTTTCCCTAAATAATGTGAAATCATCGGTGTAGTCTGACTGGCTTCAAGTGGAGGAGTGGGTGCAGAGCACTTCCTCTCCCAGCCTCGGTCTGCTTCACTCTTCCTGTGAGAAACTGCAACAAAACAATCCAGCTAACAGTAAACAATATCATCATAAAATTCTGCAAACAAACATAGGAAAGGTTTTGAATAAACAGTGACTGACAGACAGCTGACCTCATGAGTTCCCATGTGGTATTCTAGACACATTAGGTTAAAAATAGAGGGTGAAATGTCTGGGCCGTCAGAGTCGATTTAGGAATCCTAAATCCTCTGAAGGACGGGAGACGTTAGGAGGCAAGGATGGGGAAACACAAACAACACAACAAAATTAGAAAGTCATGAAAGCACAATTAAAGGAAAAATGTAAAGAACATTTTTGTTGTTCACTACAAATATTATGTGTTCCTAGCTTTTTGTCTGAGTCGAGCTTTGACATGTAGCTGAAGGCTGCTACCCCTGTGTCACCTGTTCGTTTTTTTGATAGTTAACACCTGAAAACCAACTTCACTGAGAAACCATTTTAACTTTTTTTTTTTTAATAATTAGTCACTCTGAGCTCAGGCTCGAGGCATGAATGGCTGAACATGAAAACAGTCTGCTACACCTATCGCCTGATAAAAATAGATGGAGAAACTCTGGGATTTGAAAAGCCTGACAGATCTACGTCACACTGAATTAGCATTCATGCACTCACCCAACTTGACTCGACGAGGAAGGCTGTTATTGGTTTAGCGTCCAGGAAACATCAGAGAATGTCTCGTCTACTACAAGCTAACCATTAGCATTAGCAACTCCACAGCACGGCAGAACTCTTGTTATTTGTAGAAATAAACATCAACATTGTAAAGCAAACTGAGTCAGTGTAGAGTCGTGTTGATGTTGGCCAATCAAAGGCAAGATGTCTAAATATCAGGAAACAAGACTTCAAATCCTGCTGTCTAAAGCACAGACATCATATACGTAGGCACCCCATGGACTGGTGCTGCCTATTGGAGCTGGCTTAACAGGGGTCTGCCATATTGGATGGGTTCACATTAGCTCCCTGTGCATTTATTTCTGCAGGCGAAGTTGTTAACCCAATAAAAAAGAAAAAATCACATTTTATTATGTTTTTCACAAAATCTGATATATGATATGTCATGATAATGAAAATATAAATATAATAAAACATTTTTTTGTTAAAATATAAATTCCCAACAGGTAGGCTAGAAAAGTCAATAGTAATCCACATGATGTGTTTTCAGTATTGCGGCAGGCATAGCTGCTCAATCTGCATTGACTCCAGCTGGGTGTGAGGACCCCACCCAATATGGCGGCAACCCTGTTAAGCTCTCCAGTGCCCAATGGAGCATCTACGCATTCATGTCTATGCTCTGAAGCCACTTTCTCTTCCAGTTGACTTCTACTTCTTCAAGCAGGCGCACCAAAGCTTTTTTTTTCCTTAATCCGTTCATTTCTACTAGAGACCACTGCAAATGTAATTAAAAATCGCATGGTATAAAAGTATGTTAACTAGACACAGAGCATTTTAAGTCTTGGATATGATGTCCAGCTTTTGAGGAGTTTTCTTCCACTTCAATTTGCCAGGCAGATCGTCTTGATTTAGCACAGGTGCGGCAGTAATGAGACCTGGTTGTGACTGGAGAAATAGAAATCAGGTCCTCTCAGTCACACAGGAAAAGGTAAGTCTGGAATATTTAATAATAATGAAATCACAAAAATACTGCATTTTCTGTTCACTTTTGCTGTCTTGGACTAAAATTCCAATTTTATGATCTGAAACATTGATTTGTGACAACATACAAAAAATAAAAATAAAAAAATGAGCGTGCGTGTTCCTTGAACATCCAGTAATTCAGACAATAAATTATAACATAAAATTATGAACATATGCAGCTGTTGTTTATAATATACCTACAAGCTTTGTTTTTAGGATTATATTCAGAAAGAAATGTCTTCATCAGATATGTAAAGTTTTTTTTTAAACTTCAATAAAAGCCAGCAATACACTAATACACCGTCCTCACCGCCATGTGTCACCATTAAATGCATATTTTCTCCACATAATCCTAATTTCTTCTGTGTGCCTCTCCCGGTTACCCCCAGGTGGGGTTTTATACAGGAAGTGTGGCGGCTGAATGCAGGTGTGAGCGTACTTGTTTCATCCAGAGTGAAGTGTTAACAGCATCAAACAAGTTTTATTGGTTTCTTGTAGCTGATGATGAATCAAAGAAAGTGTCTATCCATCCATCCATTGTTTACCTGCTTGTCCAATCAGGGTCGCGGGGGCTGGTGTCTATCTCCAGCAATCTCCAGGCAAACATGCAGGGTTCTCTCTGGACAGGTTGCTAGTGCATCACAAGGCCACACACACACACACACACACACACACACACACACACACACACACACACACACACACACACACACACACACACACACACACACACACACACACACACACACACACACACACACACACACACACACACACACACACACACACACACACACACACACACACACACACACACACACACACACACACACACACACACACACACACACACACACACACACACACACACACACACACACACACACACACACACACACACACACACACACACACACACACACACACACACACACACACACACACACACACACACACACACACACACACACACACACACACACACACACACACACACACACACACACACACACACACACACACACACACACACACACACACACACACACACACACACACACACACACACACACACACACACACACACACACACACACACACACACACACACACACACACACACACACACACACACACACACACACACACACACACACACACACACACACACACACACACACACACACACACACACACACACACACACACACACACACACACACACACACACACACACACACACACACACACACACACACACACACACACACACACACACACACACACACACACACACACACACACACACACACACACACACACACACACACACACACACACACACACACACACCAATTTAGTGAGACAAGGGACAACATGCAAACTTAAAAGTAACTAAATGTAATTCTTCAGTTCTATCTGTGTAATCAGTGGGTTGTTTTGCCACAAGATGGCGAGAAAGAACCATTTTTGAAGCCCCTTCACACGGATCTTTTTTTAAATAACCATCATAGAAGTGGTTAAGGATCTTTTGTAGCACATACCTAATAAGCAAAGCACAGATGCCTGTGTGTGCGTTTAGCTGCTATCAGAGACATTTTTTTGTATGAGATTCCTGCTCTCTAAAATAAAATGCCTAACTATGTACAGTAGTGGTATTTTGTGCATGTACATACAATATAAAGATACTCCCTTGAACCATTTATTTTCCTGATATTAGCTTACCCCAGTCTGATGCAAAGCAGGTGGCTTGCTGTTGTCGCTGTGTGCGTGGAAAAGGGTTTGTCAGAAGAACTAAAATCTGCTGGATGGAACAGATTCTGTTTGACATGAAACAGCCTGAGTTGCAGGGAAGGCTGGCTGTCCATTGCACGCCAGCATGTGTGAGGTTTCCAGTCTGTGTACTGAACCCAACCCACAGGAAAGTTAAACAAATGTAACCTTTCAGTCCCTTTTATGATATGATGAGATGTTTTTTGCCACCCTGTAAAAGTTCTGAATGGCTCTCTTAGACTTCGTCCATCTGTTACCATCTCCAGGCCCTGCTGAAAGCTATTAAACACTTTGTTGGCCTCAGGGTGGAAGCGAGATGTTCTGGATGCTGGGATGAACTGGGCGGTTGTAAACAGTGCCGGTTTGAGTGAACTAGCTGAACCAACTTCTACCTGGAATCAGAAAAAAAAAATGTAAATGCTGCAAAAATTGTTGCATGTGCTTTTACTTCTTCAGTGGTAACAATGTAAAGGTGATTGGTAGCAAATCGGGCCTGCAGCTATAAATAAATGAATAATAAAACAAATACAACATTGAAACTCAAACAACTTTCTAGGATTAAGTGTGCAAAAAAATAAATTATTCAAAGCTTTGCAATTTTTAATTCTAAAAGATCTAAGCAGTCGCTGAACTGCTGATGCTTTAAAGTTTGTAAAATTACCATTTGCTTGTTCAAAACTTTTACATCCGTAGAAGTGAGTTGTGTAACAGGTGGTGTGTGCACTCCTGTCTAATATCTTAAAGGTGTGAAACACTAAAAAAAACATTTTTAATGATTATTTCTGATTATAATGGGTCACTCTGAGTTTTTCATGCAGGCTGAACAGGAAAATAGTCTCCTACACCTATGTCCTGCGTTAGCTTCTTGTCAAAAATAGACAAAAACCGCTCAGTTCAGAATAGCCTGACAGATCTACGTCACACTGAATCTTACCCCGGGTTTCCGCAGGAGCCGTCAGCAGCACGTTACTGCAGCAGCACGTCTTGCTCGCGTAAGCTGCTGCTTGGCCCTTCCCACGAGACACGAAGCAGCAGGGGAGCAGCTGTCACCGACCGAGCACGAAGTCACACGAGTGACCGTCAGTAAACACAACAACAAGCAGGAGAAAACTACAACATGGCTCCAACAGGTTTGTGTTTTATGTTCTGTCCGTTTTATAATCGCCAATACGGACCTGAAAAACAAAGGAGACCGCTAGCTAGGTGATAACTTCTCACGGGGCCGCACATTTAGTAACTTTTTTTAAAA